GTGGTCATATAAGATACTTGGTATGATTTTGATTTTTAAAAATTTGTTGATATTTGTTTTGTTTCCTACCATATATGGTCATTCCTGGAGAATGTCCCACGTGCTGATGAAAAGTATGTGTATCCTGCAGCTGTGGGTACAATGTTCTGTAAATGTCTCTTAGTTTCATTTTGTTTATGCTTCAGTTTAAATCTGATGTTCTTTGTTGATTTTCTGTCTAAATCATCTGTCCAGTGCTGATAGCATGGTGTTGAAGTCTTCAAGTATTATTATTTTGGGGCTTATTTCTCTCTTTATATCTAATAATATTTTCCTTATATATCTAAATGCTGCAGTGTTGGGTGCATGTGTATTTACAATTGTTAGAGCCTCTTACCAAATTAATCCTTTTCTTATTGCATAATATACTTCTTTATCTCTTTTACAGCTTTTGACTGAAAGTCTGTTTTATCCTATAGAAGTGTAGCTACTCCTGCTCACTTTTGTTTTCTGTTTGCATGGAGTATCTTTTTAAATCCCTTCACTTTTAGTCTGTGTATGTCTTTAGAGATGAGATAAGTTTCTTGTAGGCAGCATATTGTTAGTTATTTTTCTTAAAATGCTGTCAGACAGTTTCTATCTCTTAAGTAAGGGAATTTATTTACTTTGAAGGTTATTATTGAAAGGTCAGAACTATTCCTGTCAATTTATTGTTTTTTTTTTTTTTTTTTTTCTGGGTTTTGTATATCCTTTTTTCCTTTGCATATCCTTTCATCCTTTGTTCCTTTCTTCCTCTCTTATTGTTTATTTTTGTGGTTATATGGCTTTCTGTAGTTATAAGGTTTTATTTCTTTCTCTATCTCCTTTGTGTATTGGCTCTGCCAGTGAGTTTTATAATATTGCACATGTTCATGATGGTGTTTATCATCTTTTTAGCTCTAGATGTTAGGATCCCTTGAGCATTTATTGTAAGGCTAGTCTATTTGTGATGAATTTCATTAGATTTTGTCTGTGAAAGATTTTATTTCTCTTTAATTTCTGAAGAATAGCTTTGTTTGGTATAATATTTGTGTTTGACAGGTTTTTTTTTCTTCCCAATATTTTGAATATATCATTCCCTTCATCCTGACCTTTAAGGTTTCTGCTAAGAAATTCACTGTTAGTCTAATGAGGATTTTCTTATATATGACTTTATGCTTTTCTCTTGATGCTTTTAGAATTCTTTCTTTGTATTAGACTTTTGATGATTTGAGTATCATGTGCATGGGAAAGGACCTGTATAGTGTGAATCTATTTGGTGTTCTTTAAGCTTCCTGGACTTGGATGTTCATTTCCTTCTGAAGACTTGAATAGTTTTCAAGTGGCTTATTAAGTATTTCCAGGCACCTATTCCCTTCTGTTCTCCTTTTTCAATGCCTGTGATAGAAATAGGTTTTCACTAAATGGTTTCCTGTAAATGCTGTAGGCCTTCTTCACTCCATATTCTATTTTATTTTTGTTGCCTGTGTTATGTGCTTTTAAGTTCAGTAATTCTTCTAGCTAGGCATGGCAGTGTGAAACTGTAGTCCCAGCTACTTGGGACGCTGAAGTAGGAGGATCACTTGTAAGCCCAGGAGATCGAGGCTAGCCTAAGCAACATAGCAAGATCCTATCTCTATTAAAAAAGAAAAAGAGAAATTCTTTTTTTCTGCTTGGTTAAGTCTGTGGTTGAAGCTCTCTGTTGCATTTTTAAAATGTTATTCATTGAATTCTTCAGATCTAGAATTTATTTTGTTCTTTTTTTCTGATATCTCTGTTGTTGAATTTTTCATTCAAATTATGAATTATTTTCCTTATTCTGTTGAATTATGTATCTGTATTCTCCTATATCTCATTGAATATCCATAAGATTATTTTGAATTTTCTTTCTGATATTTGATATGTAGGAATTCCTGCATAAAATTCTCCCAATTTTATGGAGTAAGTTTTGTATGGAAAGAGTTATTAGTATGAATGGATCTTAGGGTATTAGTTCAATGGAATATACTAGTATTCATTCTAGGTGGATGGAGTACTGTAGTCTCCAGGTAGTTTCTTCAGCTATTATCCACACTAGTGACATACTAGTGACATTTTCGAGTGTCTTGTCTTGAGAGCTACCAGCTTAATGGCTAAAGGATAAGACGTATGAGGTGATATGTAGAATATACCTATTAGTTTTATAATATTTAAAAAAAATGTGACAAGGTGTATTTTTAAAGTTTTATTTTTAGCATATAAGATGTACAACTTAAGTTAAAATCTGTTTATATTCTTGTGATGCCAGGAGCTTCATTTCTTTTACTAAAAAAAAAAAAAAGGACAATTATCAGTGAACATGTGACAATTAGTTCTCACTACCTACCACTTATACAGAGCTTATTCTTGGCAGATCCAAATTCCCTGATACTTAGAAAGTACTGATATTTGATATTAGAATTCTATTGCTTACTTTCTAGCTTAAGACAAGAATATATTTAGTTTTTACAATATAACCTTGAAACGTGCTTTTTTGATATTGCGTATTTCAAGATTCCTATGTTAGTGCTCATTTTTCTTGTCTATTATTATAAATAATAATGATTGAACTAGTAATTATTTTGAATGTGTGAACTTACACTTAAGAAGTTCATCACACATTCAAAAGTTCCATTTGCTAAGGAATATGATGCTAACTAGCATGCCCTGTAAATGAAGAATGTTTTGCTGTATCAGAAAGCTGAGTTTTAGCAAGATTTCAATGGTAGAGACTTCGGTAAGGTGACATTCAATTAATCATATCTTTATATAAAATGAATTCTGAGTCATTGCAGTTATATAAACTGATGATAACCCTTCTTTGGCAAATAAAGATCACCAGATTCATGCACTTTATAGAGGTATCTTGGGCCAAATGATCATTTACTTATTGGAAATGGCTAATGAAATGTTACAGTAATTTATGGTGTGCTACAGTAAATTTTCATAATATAGTAATTTATCTTACATAAGATAATGAACTGCCTGTCCAGTTCATTTACTGAGTAATAGTTACTTTAAATGTTTTATCAGCAGTTTCATTTTTATGTTTTCCTCTTCTTCCTCTCAGATTTTTAACATGATGAGTTAGGGAGTAATATTTCATTTTAAATGACTTGTCTTGACTATAGATAGTTCAGGGATATAGGCAGAATTGCTGTAATGTGAAACACAGTTGTTAATCTGAAATATCTGTGTTGAATTGATGCCTGCTGTTATTATCAAGAATTGTAAGAATGTTACAGCTTTTTGTTTACCATAATATTTTTCAGAATAATATGTGAAATATATGCTGATCACAATGTGAAGCAGCATATGTATTTTTATAATCAGAAACATTATTAAGTACCATCTTTGTTTCAGGCACTGTGGTGATGATGGAAGATAACCATCTTTATTCTAATGAATTTTGTTTAGCAAAATTTATTGATTACCTCCTATGTATACAGTACTTGAGCAATACAAGATCTATTGTCATAACAAGAATTTATAAGATGCTTAAATTTTATCCAAGAAACATTTGTTGAGTGTTTACTATCTAAAATTTATTGTATTTGTACACTTCACACATTTCTAGGTGTATGGCTATCTCTTAAGATCTTTAGGACCATATGTATATCATAATTAGAATAAATACTGGATATAAATGTCTTATTTCTATGTTGTTAAAGATAGAAAAACATTTTTCTCTATCCTGCTACTCTATACTGTTAAAAAAAAGAATGAAGTGGTGTTTTGAAACCATTACACATTGTAATATAATATTGGTAGCTTAGTATTTTGGAAAATAAATATATTATCATACATATTAAAATAGAGGTGCTTCTAGTCTAAAAATATTGTAAAGATTAATAACTGATCATGAATATATCATTTTTTAATATAAAAAGAATAACATTTATAAATTGAGTATTAAGGTTATAAACATGGTAAAGATTTTTATTTCAATCTAATTTTGAAATATTACAGCATTAAGAATGGTTATGTAGTATTTGTCAATCTTAGCTAAATTTTCGGCACAAACATTAGATTTTATTATTTTTCTTGATTTTTTATTAATAAAATTATATGACATTAATGTAGCCAAAATTCATATAGAAGTCCAAATTCATTTGTAGATATTTGAGCTAAGAGAGAGGCAGTTATTCTTCTCTAAGTCTTTTTGCTAAGTCTTCTTATGAAGTCTTCACTAAGTACTGCTTGTTGATTTTATTTTCTATTTTCACAGTGCAGATAATGGCAATTTATCTTCAGATTCTTTTTTTTTTCCTTCCTGAGACAGAGTTTTGCTCTATTGCCCAGGCTGGAGTGCAGTGGTGCAATCTCTGCTCACTGCCCTCCACTGCAACCTCCACCTCCTGGGTTAAAGTAATTCTCCTGCCTTAGCCTTCCAGGTAGCCGATACTACAGGCGCCTGCCACCATGCCTGGCTAATTTTTTGTATTTTTAGTAGAGATGGGCTTTCACCATGTTAGTTAGGATGGTCTCGATCTCCTGACCTTGTGATCTGCCCGCCTTGGCCTACCAAAGTGCTGGGATTACAGGCGTGAGCCACTATTCCCAGCCTATCTTTATATTCTTAATCCTATAACTGATTACATTGATAGTAGTGATAATAATAGAAGCAGCAGCAGCCATAATAATATGTTAAGTTTTTAAATAATCCTGCTTCATCTTCATTTTATAAAGGATAATTATATCTTTATTTTATAGAAGAGGAAATTGAGGTTCACAAAGACTAAATAAATGATGCCAATCACGTAGCTAAACATGAAACCTGTGTTTTAAAAACAGTGTTCTATTCTACATCATTCTCTAAAATATACTGTAATTGTTAATTATTCTTAGTACTAAAACTCATTAGAAAGGGAGTTTTATATATTTTCAAATATAATTTTTAATGATATAAACCATTTGCTGTGGAATATTATGCCCTACTTTTAAATCTAACTTTCTTTGAATATCACTTTTCCTGTCGTTTACAGAAAGTATCACCTTGGGTAGGCTTGCGCAAGATCAATATATCCTATTGGGGATGGGAAGATATGTCTCCTTTTACAAACACGACACTACAGTGGCTTCCTGGTGAACCCAATGATTCTGGGTTCTGTGCATATCTAGAAAGGGCTGCAGTGGCAGGCTTAAAAGCTAATCCTTGTACATCTATGGCAAATGGCCTTGTCTGTGAAAAACCTGTTGGTAAGTAGTCCAGTAAATTAGCATTCCTTTAAAAATATGTTTCCAACCCATCTTTTCACTCCTTCTTTCTAGGGTATAGTCTTATTCTTTGATATTTATATAAATTTTATTTTATACACATTCTTCCCCACTTACAATTAGTGTTCTCAGCATTAAGTTGTGAAAATAACAAAATATTATTTTATGCAATTTTATTGGTTTAAATAGTGAGATTATGAACATGTAAGTGTAGTTACAATATTGCAAAAATCTATTCTTAATTCATTGATGTCTTGTACTTTTATCATGGTAGTGTTTGGGAAGAAGTTATTTTTTTTAAGATTAATGACTAATTGAGACAATTTTACTCTTGTAGACATATCTCAGTTGTCAAGTAAAAAGAAACATTTTTGTTACATCTTCTGAAATGGATTTTTGTTACATGAGAAAGGAATATTGGATTCTTTTCTTTTTAAATATTATATTTTTATTGTGGTAAAATATATTTAATATTTACCATTTTAAGTATCTTAAATGTATTTTAATGCCAATTCAATGGTATGTACTTTCACACTGTTGCGCAGACATTATCACCGTTTATCTCCAGAACTTTTTTCATTTTGAAAAACTAAAACTCTGTACCCATTAAACCATAACTCTTAATTTCCTCCACCCCCCCTCCCCACAGTCCCTAGGAACTACTATTCTACTTTCTGTCTATGAATTTAACTACAACTTCGGGTACCTCATATAGTAGAATCATAACAGTATATGTCCTTTGTGACTGGGTTATTCCCTCAGCATAATGTCTTCAGGGGTTAACCATGATGTAGGGTGCATAAGAATTTCCTTCCTTTTTAAGGTTGACTAATATTCCATTATATGTGTATACCACATTTTGTTTATCCATTCGTCTGTCAATGGATACTTGGGTTGTTTCTACCTTTTTGGCTATTGTGAGTAATGCTGCTATGAATGTGGTTGTATGAATATCTGTTCAGCTTCTTGCTTTCATTTCTTTGGGGAATATAATCAGAAGGAGAATTGCAAAATCATATGGCAATTCTATGTTGAAATTTTTGAGGAATCGCCATACTGTTTCTCACAGAGGCTGTATCATTTTATATTCCCTCCAGCAATGCACAAAGTTTTCAATTTCTCAGCATCTTGGCCAATATTTATTTCCTATTATTTTCAAATAATAGCCTTCCTAAAGGCTGTGATACATATTGTATCTTGCATAATATCTTATGATAAGCTTTATTTTATTCTTTGTTTACATCAGAGACTTGTTCATTTATAGGACGTTTACTTTGTAAGATGTGGAATGTTACGGAAACCATTGTGGCTAGAAAAAAATTGTGGCTGGGAAAGTAAACAGTTCTAGTATACAAACTAGGTCACAGATTACATTACTAACTCTAATTTTTAAATTATACAATTTTATATACTTTGTAAAGAATTAAAAATTTCCAAGGAGTTATACATTTTTAAATTTAATTAAAAAATTAGGAAGTATTGATATGTCATCTTTGTTTTTATTTACCTCATCATATTATAATGCCACAGTTGGCTTAATTGAAACAATTCCCTGAACAGTGAAGCAAAGAAAACCCATACAATTGTGTTAAAATGAGGTAAAAGTGAAATAATTATATTTTTTTATTTATTCCAGTTAGTCCAAATCAAAATGCAAGGCCATGCAAAAAGCCATGCTCTCTAAGGACATCATGTTCCAACTGTACAAGCAATGGTATGGAGTGTATGTGGTGTAGCAGTACGAAACGATGTGTTGACTCTAATGCCTATATCATCTCCTTTCCATATGGACAATGTCTAGAGTGGCAAACTGCCACCTGCTCTCGTAAGTATTTATCTAGAGTGACTTTTCATTTGACAGTAACACAAATCACTTCTTTGTGATGTAAGGAAGAATTAAATATTTGAAGAAGTTTCAAAAAATGAGAAAAAATATTGCTGCAGCTAGTTTTGAAACCAGCTGGTGCTGTTAACCTCTGATTTTTATTTTATCACCATTTTGCATTCTGCTAAGTATCTTTCCCTAAATATTAACATATTGCCACATATGTACAGCTCCTTTTCCCTGAGCTGTGTGTATGTTGCAGACAGCAGACCACTTCAAGAGAGTGTTCACTTCAAACATCATAGATTGTTCTAGTGAGCCTTTTTAGTGTCTTTTAATCTGGTATAGTTCCCATGTCTTTTTTTTTTTTTTTTTTTTTTTTTTTTGAGACGGAGTTTCGCTCTTGTAACCCAGGCTGGAGTGCAATGGCGCGATCTCGGCTCACCGCAACCTCCGCCTCCTGGGCTCAGGCAATTCTCCTGCCTCAGCCTCCTGAGTAGCTGGGATTACAGGCACGTGCCACCATGCCCAGCTAATTTTTTTGTATTTTTAGTAGAGACGGGGTTTCACCATGTTGACCAGGATGGTCTCGATCTTTCGACCTTGTGATCCACCCGCCTCGGCCTCCCAAAGTGCTGGGATTACAGGCTTGAGCCACCGCGCCCGGCCCCATGTCTTTTCCTTACATGACTCTGGTATTTTTGAGTAACCTATACCAATTATTTTGCAGGTTTCTCAGTTTGGATTTGTCTAATTTTTCCCTTATGATTAGATTCAGGAAAGCATTTCAGGGTGAGAATATCTTATCAGTGTCGGTATATCTGCTACAAGTATAGAATGTACAGTCTTGACATCATACAGAGTCATGTCAGCAAGGCAGTACTGGACTTGCTGTGAGTTGTACTTCAGGAAAAAGATCTTACCTTTTGTTGGTCTCTCATGTTTTCTAAGGACTATAGGATAAGGATGCATCTGAATGAATATTTAATACTGGGTACTATGTGGTCAGAGTGGCCTTGCTTACAAACACAAATGGCATCAGAATATAGTTACCAAGGGAATTGCATAATGCTACTGGTAGCACTTGGTAGCCTTGTAGGAACTTGAGACCATATGAAGCTCTTTCTTCTTGGGAGAAGAAGGTACTGATCTTAGCTAGCTTCTTTGTAGCAGAGAATATGGTTTATCTTTCCACAATCCACTCTCTGACACTGATGCTCATCAAAAATATGCCTTTTCACCTGAATTAATCAGATTTGGAACAAAAAAGTAGAAAATATCATTTACTTCTGCTGCTGTCACCACCTGCTTCTCAATGTTGGTTGCATTCATTCATATCCCACTCATTGGTATCTATCCCTCTTGTAATTAATCCAGACTTTATGTCATTTTCTTGTGAATAATATACTTTTCAGGGGCCCAGTAATTACCATTCTACCACCATAGTTAGCTGCAGAATGACCTGAGATAAACTTAGTATCTAAGTGGTTTATTTATGTACTTATTTATTTTGAGGCTGAGTCATGCTCTGTGGCCCAGGCTGGAGTATAGTAGTGCAATCTCAGCTCACTGCAACCTCTACCTCCTGGGTTAAAGCGATTCTCTTGCCTCAGCCTCCTGAGTAGCTTGGACTACTGGCACACGCCACCATGCCTGGCTAATTTTTGTATTTTTAGTAGAGACTGGGTTTTACTGTTGGCCAGGTTGGTCTCAAACTCCTGACCTTGTGATCTGCCCACCATGGCCTCATAAAGTGCTGGGATTGCAAGTTTATGTCCATTGAGGGTGCTTTGATTTGAACAAAGAAAAATATCAGTTACTTGGTAAAGTACCAACAGACAAATAAAATGAGAAGTTCTTTTGGTTCTTTTTCAGTTACCTCCTTCTCAACATCTGAGTGTCTAGGAAGCTCACAAAGACAGAAGGAGCAAGAGTCCTTAGATTTTGGGTTTTTTAAATTTTTTTTCCCTCCCAATACTTTAACCTGCAGTAAAGAGGATTTGAAATGAGTGAATCTAAATAACATGTTGGTGTGTTTGTGCCAGGTCCCAAAGAAACTGTAGTTACAGTTTGTCAAAGGAGACAAAATAACAGCCACTTGGAGTCCAGTGTATCTGTTAAACTCAGGCATGTGTTTGATTGAAAGGTATTCAGTGAGATAGGCAAAGAGACATTTTCCATCTCTATACAGGAATTCTCTCCAGGATCTTTATCCCAATTCTAAGTCCTTTCTCCTAACAATAGCCCTAAGTTTTCCACTGTCATTATCTCTCTTCTTATGTCATCTTTGAAACTTTTAAAGGTCAAAGGTCTATTTTAAGATTGTGCATCAGTCCACTGGTTTCCCTCTGTCCCTTTCTCGCCAGGAAACTGCCACGTGGAGTTTTCCTAGGAGTAGAGGGCATAACGCAGCTTGTTTCTATAACTTTCCTAAGTTTCTTCAGGACTTTCTTATTAGACCATTGGCTTTCTTGCAGTCCCTCCATAGGAGCAGCCTCTGGCAGCCTGACTGATGAAATACAAACAGCTATCCCAGCAGCAATTTTTATTGTCTGCCTGTCCGTTCTTTCTTCCCTCCTTTGAGCATTCTTTTTTTCCTCTGAGAGGCAACGCGTTTCTAGTTAGCAGTTATAGTAATGATACTGCTCTGATGAGTGGAGGAGCACCAGGGCTCTCGATTCACGTTGAATTAGATAAAACAACATGGACACAGGTGGAGCTGTGTTGAAAAGCGGAGCGTTAATAGGCAAGAAAGAAAAGAGACAGCAGAAGGAAGACGAAAAAGTAGAGACAGAGGGATTGGGGCTCCGAAGCTGAAAGAGGAAATCCCAAGTGTTGTGATACCAACCAGGTGTATGTAGAGGCTGGAGGAGGTATTTTCGGATTATTTTTTTCTAATTCTGTGAAAAATGATGTTGGTAATTTGATTGGAATTGCACTGAACCTGTAGATTGTTCTGGGCAGTATGATTATTCTCATGAGTGTAGGATGTGTTTCTGTTTGTTTTTGTCACCTATAATTTATTTCAGCAGTATTTTGTAGTTCTTGTAGGGATGTTTTACCTCCTTGGTTAAATACATTCCTAGGTATTTTATTTTTGCAGCTGTTGTAAAAGTTCTTGATTTGATTCTCATGTTAGTCATTGTTGGTGTATAGCAATGCTACTGATTTGTGTACCTTGTTTTTGTAACCTTAGACTTTACTGAATTCATTATTAAATCTAGGCGTCTTTTAGAGGACTCTTTAGGATTTTCTAGGTATACAATCATATCCAGGTCTTTAGGGTTTTCTAGGTATACAGTATAAAATCACATAACAGTCTTCAGAGTTTTCTAGGTATGCAATCATGTCATTGGCAAACAAGACTAGTTTTGACTTCCTCTTTTCTGATTTGGACACCCTTTATTTCTTTCTCTTGCCTAATTTCCAGTACTATGTTAAATAGAAGCGGTGAAAGTGGGCCTCCCTATCTCGTTATAGTTCTTAGAGGTAATGCCTTCAACATTTCTCCATTCACTATGACGTTTGCTATGGCTTTGTCATATATGACTTTTATTATTTTGTGGTTTGTTTCTTCTATGCCTAGATTGTTGAGGTTTTTTAATCATAAAGATATGTTGGATTTTAATGAATGCTTTTCCTGCATCTATTTGAGATGATCATATTGCTTTTGTTTTTAATTAAGTTTATGTGATGAATCATATTTATTGAACTGTATATGTTGAACCATCTCTGGGATGACACCTACTTGATCATGATGAATTATCTTTTTAATGTGCCATTGGATTCAGTTTGCTAGTGTATTGTTGAGAAGTTTTTCATTTATGTTTATCAGAGATATTAGTCTCTATTTTTTTTTTTTTAATATCCTTCCCTGACTTTGCTATCAGGATGATACTGGCTTCATAGAATGAGTTAGGGAAGATTTTCTCTTTCTCAGTCTTTTGAAACAGTTTTCGTAGTATTGATACCACTTCTTTGAATATCTAGTAGAATTCGACTATGAATCCCCCTGGCTGTTGGGTTTTTTTTGGCTGGCAAATTTGTATTACTGATTCAATCTTGCTGCTTGTTATTGATCTGTTCAGGATTTCTATTTCTTCCTGATTCAAGCTAGAAGTGTTGCAGGTTTCCGGGATTTTTTTCATTTCCACTAGATTGTGTAGTTTGTATGCATAGAAGTGTTCAGAGTTGTCTTGAATGATCTTTTATATATCTGTGATGTTGATTGTAATGTCAACATTTTCATTTCTAATTAAACTTATTTGAATACTGTCTTCTTTGTTAATCTAGCTAATGCTCTATCAATTTTATCCTTTCAAAAATACAACTTTTCATTTCATTAGTCTTTTGTATTTTCTTGGTTACAATTTCATTTAGTTCTGCTCTGACATTTGTTTCTTCTCTTAGCTTTGGATTTGGTTTGTTCTTGTTTCTTTAGTTCCTTGAGATGTGACATTACATTGTTGTTAGTGTGTGATCTTTCAGACTTTGATACAGGCACTTAGTGCCAAAAACTTTTCCCTTAGCACTGCTTTTCCTATATTCAAGGTTTTGATAACTTGTGTCACAGTTACTGTTCTTTTCTGCAGAATTTAAAACTTTCCATCTTGATTTGTTAACCCCAAAATCGTTCAGGAGCAGATTGTTAAATTTCCACGTTTGTATAGTTTTGAAGGTTCATTTTGGAATTGATTTTTAGTTTCATTCTACTGTGATCTGAGAAGATACTTGATATATCAATTTTGATTTTTTAGAACTTATTGAGACTTGTTTTGTGGCCTATCATATGGTCTGCCTTGGAGAATGTTCCATGCGCTGATGCGATGCATATTCTGTACTTCTTGGGTACAATGTACTGTTAATATCCGTTAGGTCCATTTTATCTAGAGTGTAATTTAAGTCCAGTGTTTCATTTTTTTTTCTTTTTTTGAGATGGAGTTTCACTCTTGCTGCCCAGGCTGGAGTGCAATGAGTTCAAGCAATTCTCCTGTCTCAGCGTCCCGAGTAGCTGGAATTACAGGCATGTGCCACCAGGCCTGGCTAATTTTGTATTTTTAGTAGAGATGGGGTTTCTCCATGTTTGTCAGGCTGGTCTCGAACTCCTGACCTCAGGTGATCTGCCCACCTCAGCCTCCCAAAGTCCTGAGTTTACAGGTGTGAGCCACCATGCCCAGCCTAAGTCCAGTGTTTCTTTGATGACTTTCTGCTTTGATGATCTGTTTATTGCTGTCAGTGGAGTTTGAAATCCTCCACCATTATTGTACTGCTGTCTTATCTCTTTCTTAGGTCTAGTAGTGATTGTTTTATGAATTTGGGAGCTCTAGTTTTAGGTGCACATATATTAGATTGTAATATCTTCTTGTTGGATTCTTGCTTTTATCATTATATAATGAACTTCTTTGTCTTTTCTTTACAGTTGTTCCTTTAAAGTCTGTTTTATCTGATATAAGAACAGCTCCTCCTGGTTGCTTTTGGTTTCCATTTGCATCAAATATCTTTTTCAACCCCTTTACCTTGACTCTATAAGAATCTTTAAATGTTAGATATGTCCCTTGAAGATGGTAGATATTTGGTTTGTGGTTTTTCATCTGTTTTACCAATCTATGTCTTTTACGTGGAGCATTTATACCATTTACATGTAACATTAATATTCAGATGTGAGTTACTTTTCTAGTTATGATGTTGTTTTTTACCTAGTTACTTTGTTTTCCTCACTGTGTTATTACTTTATAGACCCAGTGAGTTTTATACTTTCAAGAGTTTCTATTCTGGTGCATATTAACCTTTCATTTCAAGATTTAAACTCCTTTTAGCTTTTCTTTTAGGGTTGGTCTGGTAGTGACAAAATTCCTTAGCATTTGCTTGTCTGAAAAGGACTTTATTTCTCCTTCATTTATGAAAGTTAATTTTGCTGGATACAAAATTGTTGGCTGGCAGTTATTCTGCTTAATGAGGCTAAAGAGAGAACCTTGATCCCTTCTGGCTTGTAAAGTTTCTGCTGAGAAGTCTACTATTAGTCTGTTAGGTATTTCTTTATAGATTACCTGATACTTTTGTATTGCTGCTCTTAGAATTCTTTTCTTCATGTTGACTTTAGATAGAATGATTGCTATATATATTGATAATGTCCTTTTTGCTATAAACCTCTCAGGAGTTCTTTGAGCTTCTTGTATTTGGGTGTCTAAATCTCTGGCACAGCCAGGGATGTTTTTCTTAGTTATTCCCACAAATAAGTTTTTCAAAAAACTTTTTTTTCTTTTCCCTCAGAACACCAATTATTCTTAGATTTGGCTGTTTCACCTAATCTCATATTTCTTGCAGACTTTGTTTCTTTTTAAAATTATTTTTTTTATTTTTGTTTGACTGGTATAATTCAAAAGCTTTGTCTATAAGGTATTAAATTATTTATTCTACTTTGTCTAGTCTATTGTTAAAACTTTCCACTTGCATTTTGCAGTTTTCTAAATGTGCCTTTGATTTCCATAAATTGTTTTTTCAAAAAAAGTATTGTTTTGTAAAAATTTTTATTTATATCCTGAATTTTGTTTTAAATTTTCTTACGTGTTTTTCGCCTTTCTCTTGTATCTGATTGAGTAACATAGTAATCAACCTTCTGAGTTCTTCTGGCATTTCAAAGATTGTTATCTTGGTTTGGATCCATTGCTGAATAGGTAGTGTGACCTTTTGGCGGTATTATAAAACCCTATTTTTTCACATTGCCAGAATTATTTTTTTGGTTCCTTCCCATTTTTGTAGGCTACCTCTTCTAATTATTTTTTAATTTTTTTGATTCAACTGTGCTTTTTAAGTATCTTTTTTTCTTTTTGAGGATATGACTTTAATGTTTGTAGTTTATTTTAATCTAATTTGACTCTTGGTGCTTTCAGTCATGAAAACTCTATATGAGTTGCTTGGTTATAGAGAGTATTTTCATGATTCTCAGATACTGGTTGTAGTAGTAATGTGCTCCTGTATAAGCAGGTGCACTATCTCCTGTGGGGTTGGAACAGCAGAGGTCTCATGAAGCTTATATCATGTGCCAGTGGAGTGCAATATATATATATATATATATATATGCAATATATATATATATATAATACTGAGGAAAGAAAAATATATATATTTATCATGAAAAATATATTTATTTATATTTTCTTTCCCCAGTATTTTATTCACTGGGTTGAAAAATTCAGACTTTAGGTCAATAGGTGGTATCCACAGGTAAAATCAGGCTGTGGCTAAAGCAGGTATCATGATCCTTTCTTAAAAAAAAAGTTCTAAAATAAAACTTACTTTCTTAGAAAATAACCGTATAACAATATTAGGAAATTTGATTTATTCAGGGTGAGTCCCACTAAATATTTACTTTCTCTTCACATGATACATTTTACAAATCATACATGACAGTAGATAATTGAAATGTCAAGCTAATATTAATAATTAGATATTTTCCATTGTGTCCTATTGATGACATAGTCACCCAATATACTTTTGTAAACAATTAGAATAAACTAGTTGACAATATGGTGGACTAACTGCAATCACAAATATACTATAAATGTTTTAAACCAACAAAACTAAGGAGGGATATGGTAAATAGAAAGTTTTAAATTGTGTCATTTAGCAGTGTGGACTGTTGAAAAAGTATAATTTTTCAAAGCAAGACTCTTTGTGTCAATGAATTATTTATCTACAAATTTAACATTAGCCACTTCTGTTTAATGACTAAAAGAGTATTCTTTTTTTTTTTTTTAATTTCTTGTTAAGCAAGTACAGGAGACAAACTTATTCTTTACCTTCCTATAAAGGTATGAGATCTGCAGCCCTCAAAGGATTGACAACTACAAATAATGTCATAATTTGTAGATTTTAAAATCCAATATTCTGCTGTCTCTGCACACTCAACTATATCAAGTTCCTAATGTTCACTGAGAAATTCGTGCCATTGTTTGTAGTTTTCTTAGCAACAATTTTGTTCCCAGTAGTATTAAAATGCTGAGTGGCAGCTAAGTCATTAACATTATACAATGAAATTGATTCTGCCAGAAATCTACCATTTTTTCCTCCATTGTTTTTTCTTTCATGTGACCAGAAGATATTATTCATGATGCCTTGTATTTCTGTCACTGTCTTCTATTTATAAAAAATTTCCAAGACACAATATAGTATTCCTCGCTAAATAATAGTAAAAGTAACTATGTAAATATGAAAAGTATCTCAGCTTAATGTAAGATGCTCAGGTTGTTAATTAAAAATTTAAAACATTTCATAGCAATGGAAATGACTATGCTGTTAGACTATAATGTCTGCTTATCTTTGGCAAACATCATCATATTCATAGGTTTTATTGAGTCTCATAGGTTATACCTGGAATCAAAAACCAGCAACAACAAAGGTTGAGTGTCAGTGAATGAGTCTTAGAGTGTTATTTTACAGCCCTGCAAATTAGAATGTGTGCTCTGGTTGCCTGGCTGAAGGAGAGTGACAGGTTTTTGTGTTCCCACCCAGCTTGGTTTTTTGGATGAGATTAAGTTTACTCATTACATAATGGCCAAATACTAGTATCTTGGACCCTTGGGAGGAGCATGTCCATAACAGATAGTCCAAGTATAGCCCAGCAGTCTCAGGAAATGGGCAAACATCACTTACTCTGGATATCCATAGGCAGAATACAGAATCATTGAAGGTTCTCAGGCACGACAAGAATGGCTAGCATGATTTTACATCACAGACAATAATAAAGGTGGTCTGTAGGGCCCTAGATCATCTCCCCCAAATTTTTGGGAGTCCTCAATTACTGACTTTATTTTTCTCCATGTCATGGTTAACCATACTTTTTTTCACTCCTATGTCAGACTGTTTATCTCCTCTTGATTGTGATGTATATTTTAATTGCTTTTAGTAATTGCTGTCTCTTAAATATTATTGCAAAAATGTTTACATTAACTATAGATGACCTTTCATTGTTTTTTCATGATCATACTTATTTTTTTATTAGCCTATAATTCTATACTAATGTATAGTCAGGTTAACATACTTGTCAATGTTCCTGTCATGCAGCTCAAAATTGTTCTGGATTGAGAACCTGTGGACAGTGTTTGGAACAGCCTGGATGTGGCTGGTGCAATGATCCTAGTAATACAGGAAGAGGACATTGCATTGAAGGTTCTTCACGGGGACCAATGAAGCTTATTGGAATGCACCACAATGAGATGGTTCTTGACACCAATCTTTGTCCCAAAGAAAAGAACTATGAGTGGTCCTTTATCCAGTGTCCAGGTAATAATAATGTGATGAAACAATTTAACTTTCTTCTTAAGGGATCCAAGAAGGAGTTTTCTTTTCTTATAATAAAGAAAATGTAGCTTTAGAAAAAAAGAACAATGAAAATGAGACTAAAATGTCTAAGATAAAAAATTCTTCCATGGACTACATCTGTCTCAGTTATACAGGTGGTATTCTGTTTAGAATCATTAGATAGGCTAAATGAATTCATGGAATATCATGATTGGCTTTTATTTCTTTTTATTCTTTAAATATTTTGTTATTTAACTTTAAGTTCTGGGATACAAGTGCAGAACGTGGACATTACATAGGTATATACGCATCATGGTGGTTTGCTGCACCTATTGACCCATCCTCCGAGTTTCTTCCCCTCACCATCTTGCAACGGGGACTGGTGCATGTTGTTCCCCTCCCTGTGTCCATGTATCTTCATTGTTCAACTCCCACTTATGAGTGAGAACATGCGGTGTTTCATTTTCTGATCCTGTGTTAGTTTGCTGAGGATGATGGCTTCCAGCTTCATCCATGTCCCTGCAAAGGACATGATCTCATTACTTTTTATGGCTGTGCAGTATTCCATGTTGTATATGAACCACATTTTCTATATCCAGTCTATCATTACTGGGCATTAGGGTTGATTCCATGACTTTGCTATTGCAAATGGTTCTGCAATAAACACATATGTGCATGTGTCTTTATAGTAGAGTGATTTATATTCCTTTATATATATACCCAGTAATGGGATTGCTGGGTCAAATGGTATTTCTGGTTTTATATCCTTTAGGAATTACAGTGTAAGAACAAGCCTGTTTCTCCACAGCTTCACCAGTGTCTATTGTTTCTTGACTTTTTAATAATTGCCATTCTGACCGACGTGAGATGGTATCTCATTGCGGTTTTGATTTGCATTTCTCTGATGATCGGTGATGTTGAGCTTTTTTCATACATTTGTTGGCTGTATAAATTTCTTCCATTGAGGAGTGCCTGTTTATATCCTTTGCCCAGTTTTTTATGGAGTTGTTCATTTTTTTCTCCTAAATTTATTTATGTTCCTTATAAATTCTGTATATTAGACCTTTGTCAGATGGGCAGATTGCAAAATTTTTCTCCTATAGGTTGCCTGATGATAATTTCTTTTGCTGTAAAGAAGCTCTTTAGTTTAATTAGATTGTATTTGTCAATTTTGCCTTTAGCTGCAACTGCTTTTGGCGTTTTCGTCATGAAGTCTTTGCCCATGCCTAAGTCCTGAACGTTATTGTCTACGTTTTCCTCTAGGGTTTTTATGGTTTTGGGTTTTACATTTAACTATTTAATCCATCTTGAGTTAATTTTTGTATAAGGTGTAAGGAAGGGGTCCACTTTCGGTTTTCTGCATATGGCAAACCTGTTTTCCCAGCACCATTTATTGAATAGGAGATGCTTTCCCCATAGCTTAGTTTTGTCAGGTTGTTGAAGATCAGATGGTTATAGATGTGTGGCATTATTTCTGAGGTCTCTGTTGTGTTCCATTGGTCTCTGTCTGATTTTGTTACTGTAGCCTTGCAACCTAGTTTGAGGTCAGGTAGCATGATACCTCCAGCTTTGTTCCTTTTGCTTAGAATTGTCTTGGCTATACAGGGTCTTCTTTAATTCCATGTGAAATTTAAATTAGTTTTTTCTAATTCTGTGAAGAAAATGTCAATGGTAGGTTGATGAGAATAGCATTGAATCTATAAATCACTTTGGGCAGTGTGGCCATTTTCACACTATTGATTCTTCCTATCCATGAAGATAGAACGTTTTTCCATTTATTTGTGTCATCTCTTATTTCCTTAAGCAGTGCTTTGTTATTCTCTTTGAAGAGGTCCTTTATATCCCTTGTTAGGTGTATTCCTAGGTATTTCTTTCCCTTTGTGAATGGGAGTTCATTCATGATTTGGCTCTCTGCTTGTCTGCTGTTGGTGTAAAGGAATGCTTGTGATTTTTGCAAATTGATTTTGTATCCTGAGGCTTTGCTGAAGTTGATTATCAGTTATAAGAGTTATTGGACCGAGATGATGGGGTTTTCTAAATGTAAAATCATGTCATCTGCAAACTGAGACAATTTGACTTCCTCTTTTCCTGTTCGAATGCCCTTTCTTTCTTTCTCTTACCTGATTGCCCTTGCCAGAACTTCCAATACCATGTTCCATGTAGGATAGGAGTGGTTAGAGAGGGCATTCTTGTCCTGTACTGGTTTTCAGAGGAAATGCTTCCAGCTTTTGCCCATTAATATGATATTGGCTGTGGGATTGTCGTAAGTAGCTCCTATTATTGAGCTATGTTCCATCAATACCTAGATTAGTGAGAGTTTTTAATATGAAGGGATGTTGAATTTTATCAAAGGCCTTTTCTGCATCTATTGAGATAATCATGTGGTTTTGTCTGTGGTTCTGTTTATGTGATGAGTTATGTTTATTGATTTGTATATGTTGAACTAGCTGCATCCTAGGGATGAAGCTGACTTCTGGTATGTTTTTTGATGTGCTACTGGATTCACTTTACTGGTATTTTATTGAGGATTTTCACATCAATATTCATCAGGGAAATTGGCAGAAATTTTCTTTTTCTGTTGTTTCTTCCTAGTTTTGGTATCAGGTTGATGCTGGCTTCATAAAATTAGTTAGAGAGGAGTCCCTCCCTTTCAGTTATTTGGAATAGTTTCAGAAGGAATGGTACTGGCTCCTCTTTGTACCTCTGGTAGAATTTGGTTGTTAATCCGTCTGGTTCTGGGCTTTTTCTGGTTGGTAGGCTATAAATTACTCCTTCAATTTCAGAACCTGTTATTGGTCTATTCAGGGATTTAACTTGTTTCTGGTTTAGTCTTGGGAGGGTGTATGTGTGCAGGAATTTATAAATTTCTTTTGGGTTTTCCAGTTTATTTGCATAGAGGTGTTTATAGCATCATCTGATGGTAGTCTGTATTTCTGTGGGGTCAGTGGTGATATCCCCTTTATCATTTTTTGTTGTGTCTATTTGATTCTTCTCACTTTTCTTCATTAACCTAGCTAGCATTCTATCTATTTTGTTAATTTTTTCAAAAAAACCAGCTTCTGAATTCACTGATTTTTTGAAGGGCTTTTCATGTCTCTGTCTCTTTCAGTTCTGCTCTGATCTTAGTTATTTACCGTCTTCTGCTTGCTTTTGGATTTGTTTGTTGATGCTTCTCTAGTTCTTTTAGTTGTGATGTTAGAGTGTCAGTTTGAGATCTTTCCAGCTTTCTTATGTGGTCATTTACTGCTGTAAATTTCTCTCTCAACATTGCTTTAGCTATGTTCCAGAGATTCTGGTATTTTGTCTCTTTGTTCTCATTCATTTCAAAGAACTTCTTGATTTCTGCCTTAGTTTCATTATTTACCCAGGGGTCATTCAGGAGCAGGTTTTGAAATTTCCATGTAATTGTGTGGTTTTGAGTGAATTTCTTAATCCTGAGTTCTAATTTGATTGCACTGTTGTCTAAGAGACTGTCTATGATTTTGGTTCTTTTGCATTTGCTGAGAAATGTTTTACATCAAATTATGTGGTCAATTTTAGAATAAGAGCCATGTGGCACTGAGAAGAATGTATATTCTGTTGATTTGGGGTAGAGAGTTCTGTAGATGTCTATTATGTCTACTTGATCCAGAGCTGAGTTCAAGTCCTGAATATCCTTGTTAATTTTCTGTCTTAATGATCTGTCTAGTATTGATAGTGGGATGTTAAAGTCCCCCACTATTATTGTGTAAGTCTAAGTCTCTTTGTAGGTCTCTAAAAACTTGTTTTATTAATTGGGTGCTCCTGGTTACTGGGTACATATATATTTAGAATAGTTAGCTCTTCTTGTTAAATTGTTCCCTTTATCATTATGTAATGCCCTTCTTTGTCTTTTTTGATTTTTGTTAGTTTAAAGTCTGTTTGTCAGAGACTAGTATTGCCTCAGCTGCTTTTTTTTTTGCTTTTTATTTGCTTGGTAAATTTTCCTCCATCCTTTTATTTTGAGCCTATGTGTGTCCGTGCTTGTGAGTTGGATCTCCTGATACATCACACTGATTGATCTTGACTCTATCCAGTTAGCTAGTCTGTGTCTTTTAATTAGGGCATTTGGCCTATTTGCATTTAAGGTTAATACTGTTACATGTGAATTTGATCCTGTCATCATGATGCTATCTGGTTATTTTGCACACTAGTTGATGCAGTTTCTTCATAGTGTCATTGATCTTTATATTTCAGTGTGTTTTTTAGTCACTGATACTGGCTTTTCCTTTCCATATTTAGTGCTTCTTTCAGGATCTCTCGCAAGGTAGGCCTGGTGGTAACAAAATCCTTAAGCATTTGCTTGTTTGGAAGGGATCTTTCTCTTATGAAGCTTATTTTGGCTGGATATGAAATTCTGGATTTAAAATTCCTTCTTTTTTTTTTTTTTTTTAAATAAGAATGCTGAATATTGGTCCCTAGTCCCTCTGGCTTGTGGAGTTTCTGCTGAGAGGTCTGCTGTTAGTCTGTTGGGCCTCCCTTTGTAGGTGACTTGGCCCTTCTTTCTGGCTGCCATTAACATTTTTTTCTTTTTTTTGACCTTGGAGAATCCGAAGATTATGTGTCTTGGGGTTGATCATCTCATGGAGCATCTTAGTGGTGTTCTCTATATTTCCTGAATTTGAACATTGGCCTGCCTTGCTAGGTTGGGGAAGTTCTCCTGGACAGTATCCTGAAAAGTGTTTTCCAGCTTGGTTCCATTCTCCTTGTCTACTTGAGGTGCTCCAGTCAATCATAGGTTTGGTCTCTCTGCAATGTTCTGTATTTCTTGGAAGCTTTGTTTGTTTCTTTTCATTCTTTTTTCTCTAGTCTTGTCTGCATGCCTTATTTCAGCAAGGTTGTCTTTAAACTCTTATTTTTCTCCCACTTGGTCACCTCGGGTATTGATATTTGTGTTTGCTTCATGAAGTTTTCTGGCTGTCTTTTTTGCTCCATCAGATCATTTGTTTCTGAACTGGTTATTT